GCAGGACCAGTAAACAATATAGTGTGTATAATAAATTCTGCCTTAGCAATTCCTTAACATTGTACAATATTCCAATAGACTTTGCCCACTTTGGTTTAATATACGTTGTGTGACTTCCAACCTAATTTATGATCAGTAATAACTCTCAAAAATGTAATTTCAAACAGTTGCTATATTATTTACCAATAGGCAGGATTCCAATTTTGTTTTACATTTTCCAAAGTTAGTTTTATCTAAATTTTATGATAATTTACTTCTATTGAAGCATTTCTTTAAAAATGCCAGGACCAAAAAAATATTGCATCATCAGCAAACAAAAACACTTTCCATCACTCTGGAAACTTTACTAATTTCATTAATATACAAAAGAAAATTAAAAGAAAGACAAGACCCTGGGGGACCCCACAAGTAACTCTCAACTATTCTAATGTATAGATACTTAAACATCTTGTACGCTATCATACAGGTAACTTCAGATCCAAGTATCTGATACCAAAGCTCTCCAGCTTCTCCAATAATAAATCACAGTCAACAATATCAAATGATTTTTAAAGATCAATATGGTTTTTCAAAAAAAAAAATTCTATTAATGCCAATTTGCCAATAATGCGTGTTTTTTCTGAAGGCACATTGATTTTCACATAATTACTAATGAAGTCATTTTAGTCTAGCAGCAAATAATTTTTTCAGAATTTTAGAAAATTGTATAAGAAGAGAAGCAGGTTTGTAGCTGGAGAATACAGTACAACTTATATTTGTCCTCATTTTTTTGGTATCATCTTGCCAATTTTCATTTTTTCCAGTTTGCAAGGATATATTGTATATTCATCTATCAGGTTTTATAATGCAATCTGTTTTAGTTTTACCTAAACTAACTAATCAAATCAGTTACAGCCAGTATATCTTTTATTACCATTTAAAACTATATTAAGAATTCCATCCTAATTGGTTTCTTTTAGAAACATGGAATGTTGATTTCTGTCAATAATATTAGTTTTGTTTACATCACTGTGCTGCATCATTTTCTTTGCCAACCTAGGTCCCACACTAATAAAAAAAAAATCATTAAATGCTTCTGTGGTTGCCTTCATATCCTTACTGATGTTACCTCCCTCCATGGTGAAGTAATTTGGGTACTCTTTGTGTCTTCCTCTATAAACGTTCACTCAACATTTTCCGTGTACTTTTAACATTATATCATTTTTTAAAAATAATATATTGCAATACTTTGTACTTTGCCAGTTTGTTTTTATATTTATTGTAAATATTTGTAACCTGCATGAAGTGCTGTCCTATGTGCGTTAAAAGACCTTTCAATAAGTGAATGAGTCACTGCAGGTGAGATGTTGATGGTACTATACAGTTGTATCTAGTGTGGTGGGGTATAAGACGTGACACTGAGTCTGTGCAGGGAGTGGTACGGTGGATTTTGATGAATTCCTGGTGATGATGGTGAGGTGCATGAAGGATGACAGCAAAGGAAAATCAGAGGAGGAGCTGGCAGAGCTGTTTCGGATGTTTGACAAGTGAGTTATTGTTTCACTGGCACAATATCATATCAAATAACTAATCAGATTGCTCTTTGTGGTTTGGCTCCAGTAAAGTGTGCTCCCTTGTGCACCTACGTATGTATACTGACAAGCTGCCAAGTAGCTCTGCAGAGTACAGGATGTAGTTTGCTCTATAATCCTTTTTGACAGTACAGAATATTTCAAACACCCACTCCATGTAAGCCAGACACCTCGTTTGAGCATCAAACAACAAACATGCCATACTTCTTTTTTTCTCACCCTGACAGTTCCCAAACACTTAAATTCAGGATATGATCAGTCATATGTCACACACCACCTCCTCCACTGCCATCTGTAGAGCTTAATTTAGGCTTGTTATATACAAATAACATTTTACTTTTTTAATTGCTCAGGAACGCAGATGGTTACATTGACCTGGATGAACTGAAAATGATGCTGGAATCTACGGGAGAGACAATTACTGAGGACGACATCGAGGAGCTGATGAAAGACGGGGATAAGAACAATGACGGCAAAATTGACTATGACGGTGAGGCGTTTATTTAATTGATGAAAGAAATATTTAGAAATGGTTATGTACAGCAAATGAGCTGACACTCATTTTCTATAATCCATCATTCATCATCAGTGTCTCAAAAATAACACACCCACTGAGACGTTTGCTCGATAAGGGCATATTGCAGCTTCACTGTAGTTTGTTTTGGGCTCAGTAGCTATTTGTTAAATGTGTCCTTCTTAATTTTACAGAGTTTTTGGAGTTCATGAAAGGAGTAGAATAATTCTGAACCAGAGAAGGTCCACGGTGTTACTCGGATGCTGTCGATAGATCCTCGGAACGACTTTGCAAGATTTAGTCAAATATTATATTTGAAGGTTTCTGTATTTTTCTACCATCTCTTGCAATGTTGTAAATACATTGTAACTACTTTTGGTGCCCATGTATACTACATTTGTGTAAATGTATCCAAATTACTGATATTTTCTATAGATATTTCTATATAATATACAGTTTTGGCCACTTGAAAGATCAACTTTTATTTGTTCCCAGCCAAATTTTATCTATAAAGTGTCACACCCAGTTTACAAATCTTCTTATTGAGATGCTAGTATTGTTTAATACATCTGGGTATAAAATCTATGTGTGCACAAAGCCAAAGATATTTATGAGTAACACTGTTTTACATCAGGCTCTGGTAGGCTAATCATACTTTTAGAGCAATGTATGTACAGTATATACAGTATACAGTACTGTGCATGTTATGATGCGCACATTGTATACAATGTTTTGTGTTTAAGAGACCCTCGGGACTTTTTATTCCCCTCTCATATCTCCAGAATATTTGCATATTTCTACATGGAAAATCCACTGGGGGTGTGCAGTCATGTAATAAATACATTTGTCAACGCAGTCATTTTGTCAGAGTTTCATTCTGTTTGAATGATGTAATTTCAATTTTACAAATTTACTTGAAGATGAATCCTGTACAAGTGCTGGACTTTATTATACAATCCTTGGCACAGCTCTTGTGTTGATTTACTAGTTTTTCTATTAGTATTTGTGGAAACAGTGGAGAGAGTCACATCCGTGTTTTAAAAGACTTTTTTCTTTATAACACTGACACTGAATCAGAAGTTGAGGGTCAAACAAGAGTTATTTTATTGTCTCACTCCAGATTTTACAGGATGATCACATGCCCGCCTCACTGCCCTGCCTTGCTGTTCACACAGCAAATAAACAAGCAGCAGCGACCTGAAGTGTTACTGTTCTCACATCAAAACAAGATAAGTTGTGTGAACCGGAGCGTTCTGCTTGAAATGTTATTTATCTGTGTAATTTTTCTATCGTGGCTCTTTTCTGCAGCATGTGAACTATTCACATGGCTGCCATGTAAGTATCTAGTTACACAGTCCATTGAGACAGGAGCTATTTTTATCTAATCATGTTACTGCCCATGTTAGGGGATTGACCGAGACCAGTTGACAATCAGATGCCTTTGTCCATATAAAGAATCCTATTCAACTACAAAGACAGAAGTTTATAGTGCACGGTTCCATTGTTAAAACTGCTTTAATTCTGACATATTTCTTAATTCATTGAAATATCTGGATGACTAGAATAGAACAAGTAGTTTCAACCATAAAGAATTTCATTCTATAATAAATATGTATTTTTTCCCCTGTTTATAATCTTTGATTTTAGTGCCACATTCAGAGAAGTTCCTTACCAAAACAACGCAAAAATACATTCCCATATCAAGATTTCTTCTGTTAGTTATGTAAAATATAACTCCCAGGTGAACAGGCAGTAGGTTTATCAGCAGAGGAATTATGCAGTTAGCACTTTGACCACTTGATGTCAGCAAGAAAACATAATCTTATCTGTTTGTTTGGATCAGCTACAGAAACCAGGGGATGATATTTCACAGCACAGCTACTCTCTTTCCAGAGATGGATAACTTAAACTATCCAGTCAAAATGAAAAGGGGAGATGGAATATGATGTGTGCATGTTCCAAATGGTTAAAGTAACATAATCACAAATACACAATTAGTTTTTTATGGTTTAAAAAAAAAAGCCCCATTCTGATTTCCAGACTTAATATAATTGATTTCAAACTGAATACTTAAAATGATTTTGAATCATGAAATATATAGTTTATATAGTTTTACTATGTGGCTCTGTTAAGTGTGAGCAGGTGACGTCAATGGCCTGACTGATGATAATGTCCAAGGTAAAGCCCCCCCCTCCACCCCCGTCACCATGGTCTGTGCTACTCACGCGGTTTTAAACCCCAATCAGCAGTGAAGTACAGCTGCTCTTCCAGACCAGTCTCAACTGTGTGACAAATATAACACACTACATCAGCTGCACTCTGCACATTTAGTTCCAGTCCAGCTGCGCTGACCAACACCAAGTGATGACATGAGGTGAAAAAATGTCGTGTGAAAACTTGACGTGCTTGTTTTTAATTGTGCAGGTTAGACTGCTCTGCTGGCTGAGTTCTTTATAAGCTCTATGCTGCTGTCTGCAGAGTGGAGCTGTATGAGTAGTGCTCTCCCCACCATCAATGGGAGGCTGGACAGCAGCAGAATAGTGTGTAAATGAATCCGGGGTGTGGTGCACTGGCAGCAAGTTGGGTGGAGAAGTGATGCAGTTACGTAAGACAGGCCTGATGACTCATGCCCGGTGTTATTAACACACACCACGCTTATGAACCACCTTTGCTAACATGGATTTCCGGAACACACAAGCCACCATAAGACTTGTTTCCTTATTGTGTTGCAACACTCGTGCCCCTTTGACACTTTCCTTTGAAAGTGAAGTGGTATGGTAAAACCATCCGTATGCATTTTTATAGGAACACTGGACCCAAACTGGAAATTCTATATTAAAACCAGTAGAATCACTATAAGCAAAAACTTAAAATACTATAAGAAACCTAATCATAACCACCATCATCATCATATCAATGCAGAGATATCTTTTAGGGACTGAAGGTTTTATAAAAGTATGTGAATCTGTTCTTTATTTTTAAAATTCTTCATAGACTGGCTCCTCCTCCTTTGACTCATTTTGTTAAACTCAAAGATAGTACACCCAGAATGACAAGGGCGGTTTCTAGAGGAGGCTGTAGTGTTCCATTTATACACAGTAAGATCAGGCAATCAGCCTTCTCAGTGAGAACAACAGCTTTCTGGAATGCTGTGCCTAAAACTAAACTATAGCTGAACTCTATCCAGACGTGTACTCATTAAGGATGTGATATCTCAACCTGTTTGTAATGTTCTTTTGGTTTTATTGATATATGTAATTGTTTTTATTATTTGTAATTTTTAACTAGTCAAGGACTATGGGTATAAATTAGCCGTCGAGCTACTGTAATCCTGGTATATTCTGTCAGTATTGTTGTTATTGGCATTGATTGATGTGCGTGGTCCCGTTTTTACATCAACTCTAATTCAGACTAATTCAGACTAAAACTGAGATGAGGAGGATCTGCATAGGCAGTAGGCAAGCTGTCAATATTATGTAAGATATGATAATCTTTTATTATCATTGTAACACGTACAACGAAATTTTAGAGTGACCTCCAGTCGGTACAGCAATAGAAAAAAAACATAACATATGAAATAAGACCATATAAAAAACTTAACTGCTAGAAAAACAAAATAAACAACAGACCTCTCACACACCCAGGCAGGTAACTGCTGTTGGGTAAAAACTATTCCTGAATGTGTGTGTGTGTGTGTGTGTGTGTGTGCTGGGTCATTCCCCTGGCCAAGATACCATAGTGTACCCACACAAGAACACACACTCCCTGCTTCGCTGTTTTATTGATTTATAAATCATACATTCAAACCATCCGAACATAAGAGTCATGATCCACCATGAAATTGTCCTTAAACAGCGTGATGCTTTCATAACCTTATTTTTTTTCTTTGTGATTTACAGATGTGCACTACAGAATTCCCAGAAGAACAAGGAATACCCAGGGCCCGGAAGGTGTGAACTACTCATACCATCTTTCTGCCACCCACACAGGCAGACCTCAGTTTTAGCCAGCAGGCTTTTGGGTTTAGAGGATTCCTGTTTTTCTTGCTTCTCTACATCACACGGCCTTGGAATGTGTCCAGTGCTGAATATTGCATTTGAATCTGGAAATTTCTCAATCATCATTCACAGTGGTGACAATTATATACGAATACATGCTCCAGAAATCTTTAAATTCATTGACAGCTATTATTCCTTTTTATTAATTTGTGCGATAATGATGTATTATGTTTAATGCTTTGTGCTATAAATATTCAGACTCTTAAGTGTAAGAAAATGATTTTATGCGTCCATCTAAGAGCAATGTTCACCTCTCCAAAAACAGAAAGGAACTGTATATTTATTATAAATGATCACACTGTAAATAAATACAGAAGCTTAGATGACTGTATTTTTGGAGAGCAAATGGCAAGTTGTTTTTGTTGCCATAAATACACAATGAGGAAGTGGAATGCTTTAGACAAAGAGAGAGTGGAAGGACTGCAAATCCAACTCGAACAGACAGAATATTGTATCACAATGCTCCATCCCACTTATGATGCTGAGAACACTGAAGTACTGTTTCCGCGCTGCTTGGCCATAATGGGCCATAGAACAGCAAGACTACAAGACACAGAATTCACAAATTCCACAATAATTATTCATTGATTCAAATGAACAACAGCGATTGTTTTGTTTTAATGTACCATTGGGGGGGATTTATCTATTTTTACCACTTTCAAAAAGGAAATTTGTCTTTAAAATTTAGGGAGAAATAGGAACTGTGGAGAATCGTGGAACTCACCTACAGTATAAATCTGTAAGTGTAGTGGTAGGAGTAAGATAAACCCTTAGTTTTAGACATTTGAAATTCCCACTTGGCCTTTTGACTGTTAATTGAGTTTAAGTCTCAGACACTTGGAGATTCCTGTCTTCTGTGCTATGACATCTTTATTTTGGGCCCTGAAGTTTGTCCAAGGCACAGACATGCTCTTTGGCTCACTCATCAATTCTGTACTGTAAGCAACATATGGCCTTGTGTGAATGGCATGCCAGACAGCAAGGCAGGTCCCAGCATGGCCTCCTCTGGAGTTCCCAAGCAAGAACACATGACAGACAGATGACCTTTATTTTATGTTGGGTCTAGCAGGACGTGAGGAATGTTCCCTTCCTTTCACTTTGCCACAGATGAAACTGCAGACATCTTCTGCTTGGTAAACACAGACCATGGTACATCACGGGATGCTGAAATTGGCCGTGAAGTAAGAGACTTCTGGCCTTGCTTGGCCACTACTATTCCATGTGGCTTTGCTTTACATATCACCCAGTATTCTCTTAGCCAAAGCACACTCTTTTCTTCCTGCTCAGAGAACATACATGGCTCCATTATCTACACTGGATTTCTGAATCGGGTTGCGGGGGGAGGGTACCTTTTTGCTGTAAGGCGACAGCACTAACACCGCGCTGCTGTGCCGCCCTACATGTCTCAGAAAAGATTTATGTTTCACAAGCCTTAGTTAGTGGGGCTGTGAGGGCTTTTTGGAAAAGATACTATATCGGTAGTAGTTGGTTTCTGGACAGATAAGACTGTTACATGGCCGGAAATCCTGTATGACTTGAAGGATGTCAGCTATCTGAATCTTCACTAGTGACAGCACTGCAAATAAGATTACTAAAGCACATGATTCATTATAATTAGTTACTGTATGTTGTTAAATTTTACACTATTGTGACAAACTGCACAGTTGAGCCTTGTTCTGATTCTAAATGTGTCCTTCCTCTCTTTGCCTATGAGAGTCGATCTAACTTTGGATCTGAGCTTATTCGTTACAAATATGGAGAAGTAGGAAGGCATGAGTCAAGGGTTCTGAGAATCAAACAGCAATCCCAGACAACAGAGGATGAACTCACTGGCATTACAATACATTACCATTCCAATACAGTTAGACATAAAACCAAGAAACTACGTTTAAATGGTATTCCGATGTTTCAGTGCAACTGCTGGCTTGGAAGAACTTTAAATTTTCACATTCATCTTTATTGCTGGTAACAAGCATAAAATGTATTCCTACATGTGTCATACAGCTCTGTCTATATGCTGAAAATATGAAAAGAAGTGACCTTCCTCAAAAGTAAATACAGCATGGCTCGCAGCATCCATGATGTCATCCCTTCCTCAGCGACAGCATTTGACCAAATACTGAGATTAGGATTATTCTCCTTGGCCCTGAACATCTGCTTTGCGCAAACAGAGTGAAATCACTGGGAGTAAAAATCCCTGCAGTAAAGATGGCAGTTATTCAGATGAGACTGGCTTTTACAGCGGGATGTCCAAACATTTATCTGTAATAGAACGACAACAACCCTTTCAGAGATATCAGAACTATCATTTCATGAAAATACAAAACACTAATCAATGCTGCCGAGACAATAAGGTGAACTGGTCCTCATCTAATACCGACTGAGCCTCTATATTCAGCAAAAGCAAGCTGAATACATGAACAATTCAGGTATTGTGCATGCGAAGCAGAAGCAGCTGTGAAATGATTGCCATTCATTCAGTATGCTGAGTATGTTCTTATAACCGCAGCAGGTGCGAACCAGCTCTGACTGGCTTCTGCTCAGCCTGTACACCACACGGGCACATACACACACACAAATATGCAGTGAATTTGTGTGTGTACAAGCATGCTTGCAAACAGCCACATACCCCCTCCCTGAATTAGAATCCTGTCAGTCTTATGCACATCTGCTTCCCCAGTAACTACTGCTGAGTAAGCACCACATTAGTCTCTGCTTCCCTTCATGGGTGATCATTACAGGACAGAAATACTGTGGCAGCAAAAAAAAAAAAAACAAACAACTCACACATACATAGGCATCCATTGATCTTTATGTGTAAATCTATCATTTCATGAATTCTCTGTCTCGGCTCACAATAAGATCTTTTCTTAATTTCTATAATTTTTTTCTATTTTGAACAGGCCTGAGTTTCATACCACAAAAGAAACAGGGTGTTAAGACCCCACACCTTGCCTTTGATGCTGACAGCAGTGGCAAAGTGATTTATAATGACATAATAGAAAAGGCTATGCTTAACCCTCAGGTGAGCACAGCATGGAACAGCTGCTGTCAGAACGTACTGAGGAGCAGCAACATGAACATTCATGTTATATGAAGGTGAGCATTTGAAGTCGCTGCTATGAAACTGCAATGGAAACTGGTATTTGAAGGTGTGTAAATTTAAATAACCATTTTTGTACAGCACTGCTGATATCCTATACAGTAGATATACAGTTACAGTTAAAGCTAAGGCCTCTGATTACTGGTTCTCACTCCCATTGTCCCCAGGCACTACCCTTTGCCTCTGCCTTGTCATGAGTGTCTTTTCAGACCTAATCATGGGTTTGCCCTGCAGGTATGTGTGGCAAGCCAAGTTCAGTCATGATGGAAAACCAATCACTCAACAGCTTTTATTATCTCAGCTGTAGGTGGTGCTAGGAAAGTATCATCACATTATATTGCTGCTGTGAAAGTTGAAGTTCTTAGTTTTAGCTCGCTGCAGTCTTTTCAGTTACTGAGTTATTGGACCATGAACTGCAGCACACACACACTGCA